GTCAGTTCTTTGATTTTAGTCATTCTAACAGATGGGTAATGGTCTCTGGTGATTTTAATTTGCATTTCCCTAGTGACTAATGTTGAGCATTTTCTCATGTGCTCATTTGCCATCTGCATGTTTTCTCACTTGTGAGTTCTGGGAGGTTTTTGTAAATTCATTTGGATTTTCTATGTAAACAATCATGTCATTTGCAAATAGGAACAATTTTAGCCCTTCCTAATCGATATGCCTTTCATTTATTTTTCTTGCTCTATTGCACTGCATAGGTCCTCCAGTGTAATACTAAATAAGCGTAGTGAGAACAGACATCCTTACCTTATTATTGATCTTAGGAGGAAAGTATTCAGTCTTGCACCATTAAGTATAATGCTAGCCGTAGGTTTTTTTGGTAGATATTGCAGTAGGCAGCCTCTAAGATGGCCCTTAATGCTGACCGCCTCCTGATTTCATGCCCTTGTGTACTCCCCTCCCCTAGGGTGTAGGCTTGACCTAGTGACTTGCTTCTGATGAACAGAATATGGCAAAAGTGATGGAATATCACTTTCAAGATTAGGTTACAAAAAGACTGTGACTTTCACAGTGCTCTCTCACTTTCTCTGAGGGAAGCCAACAGCCAGAGAAGAACTGAGACCCTCATGTCAAAAACCCACGCAACAATGAATCCTGCCAACAACCACATGAGTAAGCTTGGAACGGGATCTCCCTATCACCACCCCAGCTCCAGTGATCCTTCAAATGAGACTATAGCCCCAGCTGACAACGTAAGTTCAACCTTGTGAGATACCCTGAGCCAGATGCACCCAGGTAAGTCATAACGTGGTTTCCTGACCTCTAGAACAATGAGATGATGAATGTTTGCTGTTATGTTTTGGGTCAATTTGTTATGTAGCAGTATATAACTAACACAGAAGCCTTTTATCAGGTTGAGAGAATTTTCTTTAATTCCTAGTTTGCTTAGATGTATTTTCTTTTATTAATCATAAGTGGATGTTGAATTGTGTCAAATGCTTTTCTCAATCTATTGAGATGATCGTATGATTTTCCCCATTTAGTCTGCTGATACACTGAATTACATTGATTTTTAAAATGCCGAACCAATCTTTCATTCCTGGGATAAACCCAATTTATTTATGATGTTCTATCATTTTGATATATTGCTGTATTTGATTGGTAATATTTTATTTAGGATTTTTACATTCATGTTTCTGAGAGATATTGATAAATAGTTTTTTATCTTTGTCTGCTTTTGGTATCAGGGTAACACTGATCTCATAATATGAGTCGAGAAGTGTTTTCTTCTATTTTTCTAGAGGAGTTTACATTAAATTGGTATTATTTACTCCTTAAATGTTTGGTAGGATTTGCGAGTAAAGCCATCTAGGCCTGGAGTTTTCTTTGTTGAAATGGCTTTAATTATAAATTCTATTTCTTTGATAAAATATAGTACTATTCAGGATATCTATTTCTTCCTGAGAAAGCTTTGGTAGTTTATGCCTTTCAAGGAATTTGTCTTTTATCTAGATATTTAAATTTATGGGCATTAAGTTGTTCCAATATAATAATATAATAATAAT